AGCCAGAATCCTGTTTCGCGGTGCCTATGTTGAGAACAACCTGCCACGAGAAAGCAACATGTTCCCAGGCTGAGAATCTGACACATCAAAAGGGGGCAAACGCTAGCACAATTGCAATTGCTTCAAAGTCCCTCCCTTCCCTGGCACCTCTCCCCAGCCCCCCCCCCCCGCCGGGTGAGGGGAGCACTCGAAGGTCCGCACCGCCAGCTGCTCCACCGTCACACGACGACCCTGCAGCCCCCCCCGCCGTCACCCACCGCAGTATGTGGATGAAGCCTAGTGTCCGTGAGAAGCCTCCTGTGTGATTGGCTATGTGTCCATATTAATTTAGCAAAGCCACAAGAGATAAAGACAGAGATCAAAAGTGAAGAAATCAAACGCCGATGTGTCGAATTAAGTTTGAGCCCAACTTGCCCTTAAACACCCAACGTTCTGTCCGTTCAGTAGCCATCGCCTTCGTCGGCGTGATGTCGCAAACGGCGCCGAGGTTTCCGCACACGTCGCAGTAGTTCCTCAGTCTTGCAGCGAAATGAAGGCCGGGCAGGTTGTCGGTTGCCTTTTGCCTTGCAATTGACGAGGGATCGCACAAACGCAAGTGGTTCACAGGCAATTTCGGGCAGCTCTGATTTTTTGTTGGCGCCCTCTCAGTACGGTTAGTACATCCGTTCTGTCGGCCCATCTTGCTTCTGCCTGAAACTGCCTGAAACTCAACCCGTTACTAAGTCCTCCGTCAAGGGTTCTCTGTTTTGCGTCTAGCGTTTAGCCCCATGATCACCAACGCAATAAGCTGTTTCTTGTTGTCCCTTCAAAGTTGAGGCAAAGTATAATTACCCATAAATGTGGAAGCTTCAAATATAACAACTATTGTCAAAGTGTCTCTTTCACCGTTGTTTTCTTTATCTTGCTCGCTCTCTCTCTCTCTCACACTTTGTCGTTTGGTGCTCTCCTCTGTCTTGTTCTCCCCTTCCTCTCTCTTATTTATCTTTCTTGTCTTTTTCTTTCTCGTCTTTCTTGTTCTCTGTATTTTCTGATATTCTTTCTCTTTCTCTTTCTCTTCCTCTGTCTCTTGCGTGACTTTCGCTCACACTCTCTCGCTCTCTCTCTCTGTCTGTCTCTCTCTCTCTCTCTCTCTCTCCCTCTCTCTGTCTGTCTCTCTCTCTCTCTCTCTCTCTTTCTTTCTGCTTCTCTCTCGTTCTCTCTCCTTCTCCCTCTCTCTCTCCCTCTCTCTTTCTCCGTCCCTTCCTTGTCTCTGTCTCTGTCTCCCTCTCTCTCTCTCTCTCTCTCTCTTTCTCCGTCCCTTTCCTTGTCTCTGTCTCTGTCTCGCTCTCTCTCTCTCTCTCTCTCTCTCTGTCTCTGTCTCTGTCTCTGTCTCTGTCTCTGTCTCTGTCTCTGTCTCTCTCTCTCTCTCTTTCTCTCCCCTTCCTTTTTGCAAGGGACTTCGGCCCCTGGCCTTCTGAAAGTACTGCGCTGCCACAGAAATCTGTGCCTGACCTTGTGAAAGCGCTGCGCGTGCCACGAACATTGCTTGATGCGTGTGATGCACGTGAGTGCGTCAAGGCGTGTGATGCACATGAGTGCGCATAACTTTTGACGTGTGAAACTCCCCAAGTAGCTGGCGGCAGGTCAGGCCTTCGCGGCCCGGCTTCCGTTGAACTGTTCTCCGAGCGGCGGGGCCGAGAAGATGGTGAGGCACCGCTTCAGGTGCTGCCATTCGAAGCCCTGGCATGGGGTCGATCTTGGATCTACGGACAGATTGACATTGGATTGACTCAGTCACCAAAAAGTTGCTCTACGCATAACTAGGAAACTTGAAAGATACATCCAATGCAAGCGAATCGTCCCATTCTGACATGAAGTCAAGCCTGGCCACCGTTGCTAAAGCCAAGGTTGCTGCCCAAGTGCTGGCTCACTGTTGATAGTCACGTCTTTTGGCCAACAAATGTGTCGGCCAACGAAGTCTCACTGATCCGAAACAGACCCACATTTTGCAAACTCCCTTGTGGACTTGCTTTCCTTCTGGCCAAAGCAATGACAAGCAAATTGGCTCAGCAAATTGGACAAGGCAAGTAGGTCATGGCGAAACGCCATTTTGGAGGCCACCAGCTCACGTCAAGACTGCATGAAGACTTCAATGTGAGCTCTGTGCCTTGATGACACACATCGCTCCAAAAGACACGTCAAAGCGATGCAAAATTAAAAAATGCTTCGCCCGAACATGGGGGCGAAAGCGCAAGTGAGTGTGAAATTAATCATTGTCATCGAAGAGTTTGCATACCGAAGCAGATATGGTGCAGCATTTTCAGCTTGAAGTTTCCTAACGGCTCCCAGCCTCGGACTTCATCTCATGGGAGCGGATGATACAGCAGAGGCTGTTGTCCACACAGAAGCCTCCACTCCGAACCCTCTTAGGTTCAATGGCCTTCATCCTGTCAGTCTGGCTGGTGTCCCTCTACCCGAGCCTTCTGGGATGTTTGGGATCCCGGAGGCTTCGTCACAATTCATGTGTGAGTTCGGTGTTCAAACCAAAAGCTCCATCACTGTGTTTGCCAGATACTTGCCAAAACATATCATACCTCCGACAAAAAAGGCTGAGAATCTGACCGCGAAGATGTATCCGCAAACCCACAAAAATACATAAGTAACGAATTGCGCTACCAAACTGAATAAAAAACAAGCCATCCCGTGGATATTTGTTTTGGCGGATTGGGTCGTTGTTCCAAATGCATTTTGCGGTGGGCTCATCATAGAGGCCCTGGCAATCCTTGGATTGGGCAAGAAATATGCTGCTGTTTCATGTCGTTTGTAGAGAGCTTAAGTTGGTGTCTGTTTTTAATTCCCCAACAGCTGAAAGCTTTGGGGTCTCAGCCCAGATAGGCTCCGGGATGGTCCGGGGCGGCCCTGAGGTTAGGTTCCACGAGGGTTCCACGAGGGCTCCACGACGGTTGCACGAGGGATCCACCAGGGTTCCACCAGGGTTCCACCAGGGTTTGACCAGGGTTCCACCAGGGTTCCACGAGGTTCTGCGAGGGCTGCGAGGTGGTGCGAGGTGGTGCGAGCACTTAAAAGGGCACCGCATGCTGTTGGGGATATCACCTGAGCTTATGCAATGATTGTGATTTCTCTTTGAAGTTTGTTTGTTCATGCTGGGCGAATGTCTACTTCGTGCTAGCAGTGCTGCCAGCGCGGATATGACACATCTCGTTCATTCCAGAGACATGTTGCTTTCAGGGAAGCTCAAATCACAGTTCATGCCATGGCAAAGGAAAGAGCACTACCACCAGCAAGGAGAAGTGTTCCGAACATTTCGCTTTCAATAACCTCTGGCCGTTGAAATTCCTGGCTCCTGGCTTTGACGGGTGGATAAAGATTAAATCACATTCAAAAGGTACCATGAAGCTCATTCCGGGTACTCTTTTCGGTCAGCAGGAAGGTTCTGAATCCCATCAACATCAAGCTGGGTGTAATTGAGTGGCGCCTTTTAGCTGGAAACAAAGCTGCCCCATTTGTGAATCGCGAAGCTTGGCCAGTTTGCAAAACAAAACCAGAGTATGCAGTGCACAAGGCCTTGAGAATCGATCACGGGTGAATGGTGATACTTGCATACACTTGAATAAGGTACTTTCTGCGTCCTGCACTTCCTTTCAATGACTATTCATGTGACTTTGTACATCCACCATCAGGTGTGTTTCAATTGCATAAGGCAACAAAGCACAACAACACTGTCAAACGACATCCACAAATGCACGGGCATCTAGACATGTGTTTAGGTCCCGGTGTATGTGTGTCTGTGCGCGGGAGTGCGTGCGTGTGAATGTGCGGGTGCATCCTTGTCCTCTGATCAAACACTTTGTTGGGAATCTTCGTTTTTCCCGAAAGCATTTCGAAGGGTTCTTCAGAAAAGAAAAAAACCTGGAGCAGCAAGTAGCAGGAGCATATTGCACCAGCGAGTTTGAATAGCAAGTTGCAATAGGAAGTTGCCTTGGCAAGTTGCAGCAAGAGCTTCGTAAAGCAAGCTGCGCGATCAAATTACATAATAAGGGATTGCTTTAGTGAGCTACAACAGCAAGTTACACAAGAGGCTGGCACGGGAGGTTTTCAGGGTCTTGCGCTAGACCAATATCTTTGCTTTTAGTCTTATGAATTTGCGCGTGAAACCAAGAGCGTGAAGTTCGACAAGCACAAATTACCCTTTGAAGGCGCCGGGCCTGCACCAACTTAGCGGTCGAAAAGTCGACCATTTGTGCAATTTCCGCAGTGCTCGCGTGACCGTCTGCGGGGATGTGCGCGGTCGATGCCAAACATATGTGGACTTTTATGACTTTTAAACTTTCAACATGCACTCGATGCTCTGCGGAGATCGGACAAAAGCTGTGGCCTTGTTCTACGTTTTGCGGCTCGCACGCGACCCTCTGAAGGGATTGGCGTGGTCGAGCGCACGTAATGCTAGCAAAACGCTACCTTTTCTAGTCGGAACGCGGGCTTGAGAGCTTGTCTCGTGGTTTGAGCGCCTGCTCTTGGAAGCGAGCGCCGCGTGGTGTGTGGTGTGGTGTTCGGCGAGTGGAGTTTGGTGTTTGGCGTTTGGTGCTTAGTGGTTGTTGTCTGGGGTCTGGTGTGTGGTGTCTGGCTGTCGTGTGGCGCGTGGTGTGTGGTGTGTGCGTCTGGGCGTGCGTCTGGGCGTGCGTCCGCGTGTGCGTGTGCGCGTGTGTGTGTGCGTATGCTTGTGGCACGCGTGCAGGCGGGCGGGCGGGCGGGTGGGTGTGCATTGCGTTGGGTTGGGTTGGATTGGGCTGGGTTGGGTTGTGGATGTGTGGGTGTTGCTTGCTGCTTTGGCAGGACTCGGTGGATTGTTCAACATGCCGTCTCGTTCATGGACCCTACACCACATTCGACAGAGGTCAGGACATAGACTAGAATGCTCCGTAAACTTCTGAAATGTGGGGGAGGATGAAGGCCCACCAACCACCAAATCACCAACCGGTGGGGGCGCCATCTGTTTGGACTTAGAAGACTGATTGGCGTTCCTTTGGCTTTGGGCTTTGGGAAAAGACCCAGCCGGCCGAGGAGCTTTCAGTCACGTCCGGGCCAAAGAGCACCCCGCCGCCACGTGGGGAGGGCTGCCGGCCCGGGCTGTCCATGGGATCGGACCAAAGCAGATCCTCACCGACGGCTCGGACCAACAGCGGCTTGGGGCCCAAAATCAAAACCTAAACCTCACTCTTGCTGTCGATGATACAAAACTGCCCGAGCTCAGCCGGTAACTCGTTCCAGAAGCTGGTATGTGTGTGTGTGTGTGCATAGGCGTCTCTGTGTGTGTGCCTGCTCTCATGTATGGATGTTCATTAATGCATGTACAGAAATCTTGTGATGGTCCACTAGCGTGGGTTTCAATGCGCTACCGTGTTAAAGTTCACTGCTCCTAATCGCACAGGCACATCCAATCTAAACGCAAAACCTGGAAGCAACTCCTGCGCATCCTTTTGGCGCCTGCATGTGATAGAGCTTCGAACCTCTGAACTGCTGTACTTCGAAGCTCCAACTCCTGTGCAGGCCCAAACAAAGAGTATAACCCTGCCGACCTTGTCTGAGGGTGTTGGATTCGTTTGTTGGCACACACACAATCATCGAGTGTCTGACATGGTTTGAACACACCTTAGAATGAATGGCAGTCGCAGCAGCTGCCAACCCACGTCAGGTTGCAGGCTGAACAAGGAATTCAAAGTTTGATGTCGGAGTAAAAAGCTACATGTCAGAGACAATGTGGGCTTCAATTTTGGAGGGTACCCCCTTTCAAACAAAGCCGCACCCATGTCACGCTTGCTAGATGGCAACATACAGTAGAAAGTCTCTTTGCCAGCGTATCTTCATTTACAAAGCCAGCACTGCCACTCTTTCATTAGCTCATGGCTTCGCCTCGAATGTCGCCCCGATAAGGGATCAACCTTGGAACCACCCAAAAGAGGGAAAGTGGTGATGCGCCACTCTCAAAGAATGAACAGTTGAAGTGGAAGCGGCAATCGAAAGAAGCCCCGAAGCGAGGGTGCCAAACCTATCGAACTGGTCGGACTGCAATTAGCTCACGTTCGGAAACCGGAACGAACCGACAAGAACTGGCATCAATTATTGGCGTAAAGCCTGGCTGATTCAAAACGGGAACCCAGGAAAAGGACGGCATCTCCTCTTTACGAAGCCACAACAACAGGAGAAACTCTGCGCGAAGGCCCGAACGCAGAGGCGCCAGCATCAGCTGCTCCGCCGCCTCGTCGGGCTCCCGCCGCCGGTCCAGCGCGGCGATGTCCCGCAGCAGCACGCCGTCCTCGCCGGCGGAAGGGGCCCATGTGACGCTGTGGGCATTTCCGAAAATGGGGGTTCGGGTGGAGTGTGGATGGGAGGGGGTGAGAACCCTCAGGGGTTGATTTGATGTCACAAGTGCACCGAAGACACAAAGAAGACATATAAGATGCAAATACATAGGGGCAAACACACAGAGCCAAGACACAGAAGTACATAGACACATGCGCGCACACACACGGCGACACATGCACACACAAACACGTGGCGACACACAACTGGGACATAGAAATCGAGCCCCCTAATCCAGCTGCAGCACCATGGCCATTGTAAGTTGGATGGCCATTCTAAGTTGGCGTAGACTTGCCGTATTCCCAACTTCGCCGATGTGTTCGAGTGTCTTCCGGCCTCGCACTGTATCATTTGTTGACTGTATCCTGTTTGGGCTGGATTCCAAGGGAAAAGGAAAGCCCTGAATTTCAGGGTCGAGTCCCATATTTTGGGACCACCGGACTTGTTTCCCTCATCCGGATCCTTGGAGCTAAGCCCCCCGTGCACCACGAAGACTGATTCGTTCACCACCGTGGCCAGAGGTAGATTCCTTCGACTGACAAGCGAGCACATTTGGAGTCAAAATGGAAACAGGACCATGAAAAGGGCGGCATCACCACCTACTTTTGGTTGGGATTGCCCTAAGCTTCACTAACCTGGGTTTTGATTGTGGATCATTTTCCAGCTTGCTAGTTGTTGGAAGCTTTCAACCAAATACCCAAAGGTATGAGCATGTGTCGATTGTGGTTGGAAAACTTGGATACATGAGAAACTCTCATGACCCAAAAGGTTGTTCAATGGCTGCCTCGGTCAAATCCAAACCAAGCTGCTTGAACGCCTCCGTGAAAAGCCGGAAGATCTCCTCAGATCAAAGAGTGAGAGACGGACTGACCGGGCTGGGAGACAAAGATATTAAGTCGTGGGAACAGCTGCACCAACAAACTTGCCGCAACTCAGCAACTCTCTGACAGTCTGGGTGAACTGCAAAGTACGTCAGGTATGTCAAAGTGAAGCAACAACAGAAACGACCCGGGAGCCCCAAATCGAATTCTCTGCTTGGTGATGGAAGTCTGATAGCCAATGAACATCGCAAGCAAAACCAAAACTCTGCGATGATGCCGAAATCCAGGTCAGTCGCAAACGAAATGCGAACTCTTTCTCTCGAGTCAGCACTGGCACATGGTGCATTCTGATCCCATCGGCAAAAAAAACAAAATCCACTGAGCATTACAAGGCCTATGTGGTTTCTTTGAGCTGGCATCGCCCAAACCTTTGTAAGTAGATATCACAAGTCCCTTCATTCATTTGGGCAAGTAGAGGGAAAAACAAAACGGACGGGAATCGTGCCATCTACTTTCACCCAATACATCTAGAGTAGTCACGAGGCTATGCCATGCAGGCGAGGCCGGTGCCCTGTCACGCCTGAATTCGCATCCGAGTGTCGATATTGTACTTCTGCTCGGTTTCCTGCCTAGCGCGGTTTCAGGAAATTCGAATGGAAGGACTGACTGCTGATGGTTTCCGGTGCAGAAAATACAGGGTTTGCCAATCCAATTATTCATCATCCCTGTTGGGAAACCACGCGGGCTGAGGTGATGCAATGCAGCCAAGGTGCATGAATCCGTACAGCGCGTTCATTCGTGCGGCCTAGGGAGGGATCTCAATATGATGTCGGCACCTTGACACACCAAGGTAGACCAACGTGCAAAAAAACTCAGAGAACCAACAGCTTCGTGTCGACGGCGCGAACCAAACCCAAAAAAGACGCGTGCGCCGCTCGCGAGCAGGCGCTTCCCCGGCTCGGGCCTCGTGGTTGCCCCGGTTGAGGTGCACCGCCATGGGGTGAGCCACCTTCAAGGACAAGAGCAGCAAAGCCACCTCCACGGAGTATTGACCCCGGTCCACCTAGCCAGCGATCCATTTCAGACACCGCAAAACACAAAGGAAACTATGCTGTAGCTAGGCAAGCATGTGAAGGCCCGAGAAAACTGGACATTGATGACATTGGTGGTGTTGCGGCTGCAAAACAATCTTTGCGGTGTTTCCTTTGAGGCTGCCCAAAGCAGGGCGAATGCAAAGAAAGATTGGAGAACAGTGGAAACCTGCTGGATACACCCATGACTCTGCACACAAAATGCATCATCTAGGGATGAGGCGATTTGAGGCAAGAAAATGGGGCCTTTTCACGACCGCTTTCAGAATGAAACAAGACCAAACCAGAGTCCGCCAATTTGTTTTGACATAAACCTTGTGCCACGTCCTTCAGGGAAGGATGCTATCAGACTTCGGAATCTCTGACATGCATCCGCTAAAATACATACTTATCCCCCAGCAGCATTCTGCTGAACACTGGGCGTGTTTGTTCATGAATGTCGAGTCACCAATCTCTTGGAAGCACTTCTTCACGGGCACTCGCCATTATACGTCTTCAAACTGCACTGCCCTGTGGAGCATAAACTTCAAAACGAGCTAAGGCGCAATAGGAACCAAGGCTGTGATTTCCCCCATCTTTCTTTTTCTGTGGCATTCCGTCCGCAAACTGAGCGACAAGTTCAGGCCAAGACAGGAAGTGATCAGGAACCCGTCTTTGCTCGAGGCATCCGATCTCCAAGAGATAAGACGTCTAGACATTGGACTGAGACAGCTGCTACACAGTGCAAAGAAGGCATCTCACCCATCTTGTCAATCGGACGGCAATGCTGGATTGCCATTCCCCGTTGTGCAACGAGTTTACAGTGTGTTCTGTTTGTTGGCATTCTGAAGCACAAACACACACACACACACACAAAAAAAAAAAAAACACTCACACACACACAAACACACACGTTCTCTAAATATAAGTGAAAAGCAAATGATCCAAGCAGAAACAACTGGAAAACATCGACACCGACCCAGAGAATGGTCGAGCTGCGAAATCGCCGTTGAAGAGGTACTGGTTCTGCGGCGACGGATCCTCAGCCCCGCGTCATCGTAACTGATGCGCCAACGTCCTCCACCGTGAGACTTGCAAATCCACCGGATGGCAAACGTGCTTCAGTTGACAAACATACGCTGGAGGCTTGCAGTTTCAAATTCGCCCGAGTGCGGTGCCATCAACCGTTTAACGGATTCTCCACCTAGACGGCAAACTGATCCCTGTGCAAGCAAACAAGGAAACATAGTTCCAGAAAATCAGTTTGGATCGGGACCTAGTTTTATTAGGCGTGCGCACACTTGGCAGTCGAACTTGGTAAGCGCCAAACAAAAACCTGACAGCATGCCTCGACATCACAGGAGACAAGAGAATGTCAGCCCTGCTAAAACACCGGACACTGAGAATGTCTGGAATCCGGTTGAAAAAAGTGTGGGATGAGACACCCGTCAACTAATGGCAACCCGACAGTTGATATTTTTGGCCAAGGAGCCCCGCAGATCTGCAGGATGTGCAGCAGATCCCAGAACTGCCCGTGTAGATCTCCCACAACGTGCCTCACAAGGTCTTCGGACAAAATGCTAGCCCGGAGACGCGTCAATCATATTGGCGTGTGTTTTGGTTGACGGCACCCTTGTCACCTTGGTTTCTCCCTTTGCACACATACCCATATCTGAAGAAACGACCTGCCAAACCAAAGCTTCAAAAGCCCTTGCGAACTCGGCTGGGAGCTCTCTGCAAAAAAATCATTACTCCAGTTCGGTCCAAGTCACAGGGTAGCACCCACTGGCACCTGGCTCGGACTTGGGACACGTGCCATGTGCTTTGTGTCCCTGACGTTGGGGGCAACAGCTTTCCATAGGCTCCAAATGGGGTATCAAAACAAAGCGGATGGAGTCCCTTTACCTTCCCATTCAAAGAACCCGAAAGGGATGCCTAAAACCTTGGCCCACATCTGGGGTGCACATCGGGATTTCTGACTCTGTTTCATATTTGTGGCCTACCTTTAAACAAAAAAAATGAAGAAGACCCCAACATGTTTCGACCGACCTGCAGCTTCACCAGCGTGGGCTGCTGCTGTTGCAGCTCGGCAGCACGCATCAGCACCTCCGCCGCGTCCTCCTGAGGGGGGGCTGTGGAACCATCGACCCTTTGGAACCAAAGGCAAAACCTGTTTTACCTTTAAGGGCATAAGTTAAGGGAAAACCAAAAGGAAAACCGAATTCCATTTTCGGGCTCCTGACATCCCAGATTCCATGTCGAAACTGCGAACCAGAGACAAAATGGGATTGTATCCGAATGGGAACCGGTGCTTTCAGAATCATCCCAATATCCTCCAAAGAGATACCCAGGTTCAAATACCCAAATCAGCTAGAGTCAGCTCCAAGGAGAAGTCGGCTTCTTTCCATTTCATTCCCATTGTGCACATGGACTGAGATCCCAATCAAAGCGGAGTCAGGTCTTCCGCATCCTGCAGATTTCATCCGCAAGCACCCACGAGCAAGACGGTTCCATTTGAAGGCTCCCATGTTACCTACGGAACGAACCCTGGACACAAATCCTGGCAGTTCACCTTCAGCAGGCCGGAGTTGAGAGAACCACAGCTGCAACCCACCCACCTTGACAGGCCCCTGGAATGAAAACATTGGCGTCCTGGAGTTGGACATCCAACTCAAGGGTTCAAATCCTCAAACCGAACCAAGTGTGTGGATATCAAAAGTCGGCGCTTTTGCACCTTTTTCGGTAAGGGGTGCGAAATCAGCCCACGGAAATGCATCGATTCCGCGCCTTGGCCGGCAGAATCCGCTGCTGCATCGCCTCCATCCACTGCTGCACGGAGTCCTCCGGATCAGCGTCTCAGGATTTCCCTTTGGCTTCCCTTCAAACCAAAGAGGTCCAAAACGACGCGACAAACCCAAATATGAACCTCCACACAAAGGTGAAAACGGAGAAAGCAAACACACACCCGGAATGACAGGCGCACCAACATGAGAAATCTGATCCAATGAATGAGCCCTTGGACTAGACCCAAGTGCTCTGTTTAAAGTGGCTTGAATGTTAGTACGTCATTCTTGCGAACACTCATATGATCTTTAGCAGGGTCGAGGAATACCAGGATTGAAATAGTTACATACGTGCACCTAACAACAAGACAATCAGGAAAGAATCAGCAAGAGATTGGGTAAGGGGAAAAAGGGGAAAGAGAAGAGGGAAAGGATTAGGGTAAGCGTGAGGGTGAGGGTAAGGGAAAGGGCAAGGGAAAGAGAAAGGTAAAGGGAAACAGAAAGAGAAGGAGAGAGAGAGAGGGAGAGAGAAAAAGAAAAAGGGACGAAGGTCGACAAATGCTTCCTGGAAGACGCCCATTCGCGGCAAATACCGCTGGCGTACCCCGGCCTCCCAATGGCGGGGGTGGCAGACGCCATGTGAAACTGTGCAAGAAATGTATGGGTCCATGGGATTTCGAGCGAACCCCATTAACAAGGGTCCGATGCACGGATGTCTCACGTGACCTTGTGATAGGGAATCACAGCTAACCACAAAAGCGACTCTCAGGCGGAAGCACCTTCAAACTCAGGAAACTGGGCAAATCATGCAATTCTCCAATAGTGTTGGATGAGCCTGCCATGTGACTAGTTCATGGCGCTGGACACATTTGAGAGGGTCAAATAAATCTGCAGCTGGTTCCAAGTATGGGAGATGAGACACTCGCCGTTTGCCCCGCATCAATTCCTCCAAACAAATGGCAGTGAGTCTGGGCTGCTGCTCCTGCAGAGGACGAAATCAACTGCTTGGCTCTCGGATGCGCAGTTACTCCTTCAATTCATTCCAACACCTCATGTTGGCTACGGAAATCCCACAAGGAAGGCGCGTCCAAGCTCTTTGGTCGCTGCCTGTATCCTCTAGCTAGGCTTTCTGACTTGCAACCTGGAGGCAAGGAACCTGCCTCTTGCTACGAGGTAAACCGAGGCAAGCACCCGTACAGCAAACAGACATCTTTGCAAGCCTTGGTTGCAGGGCTTCCCTTTGGCTTCCCTTTGGTTTTTCTTTGGCTTCCCTTTGGCTTCCCTTAAAAACACACCCAAACATTTGGCACCTCAAAAAAGACACTCCCGGTTGGTGTGCTACTTGAGTTGAGACACCGGTAGGTAGGGCCTCTCATGTACTCGCAGCAAAAACCAGAAACTCTCTGGATGATGTCCAAATAGGAATCGGACCCCGAAAATGATGGCTTTCTTTTTGGTTTCCCTCTAAATCACCCTAACAGGGAACGCTCAAAAAAAGAACACAGTTCAATGGCATACACACATTGTAAGTGGACAAAAGCATGGTTTCTGCCCGAATCTGCCAGATCCCCGGGGGAGCCCATTGCGACATTCCCAGAGCCTGCGCCCCAAAAACCCGCACACCTGAGCAGCCGTCATCTCCGTCTTCTGCAACAGGGCTCTGGCCTCCAAACACGAGCGTCCAATGCACTATGGGTCTCGGGCTCCTGAAATGGGTCCAACTGAAACGGGACACTTGCTACCCATTAGGATCTGGGAGCCCTAACTTGGACACAGTTGGCGCGAATTGAATGGGCCTCAATCTCGTCTTGCGTCAAGCACACCAAAGGACATTGATTGCAGTCCTCCCGCCCTCCCCGTTGCATGCAAAAACATTCACTGGCTTTTCGCCAATCCTGTGCATGCAAGTGAATCCTGAACGCCTTGAAGAATGCAGCTCAAGTGAGGATTTCGGTGTTCAAAGGAAAAAACAATACACCAATAACACGTTCATGCCCCCCCCCCTGTGTTCTGTTTTTCAGACCATTGATCTCCCGCAACATTTGGCTCAAGGGCCCCTTTTGCATAATCACGACCATCCGAGCGTGAAGACAAAAGAGCCATTGCAGGCCGCTTACAGGATTATCCACAAGACAATCCACCAGGCACAATCCATCCTCCAATCATCCAGTATTGGCATATTGGACTCTCTCCGGAATAGATTCAGGGACCAACAACGACCTCAACTACCACAGGGTTCCAGTTCCCTCCGGGGATAGGCACCTGGGGCAGTGGGCGTTTGTGGTAGCGGAGCGGGTTTTCCGCAGAGATCCAAGGGAAGATGTCATCAGATGGAGAAGGCTTCATGGAAGCCTATACAAGTTCGGCAAAGCCGAGCTATACGGAGGAAACACTAAATTTATCGATGACCGCCAAGCAGCCGCCATCGTACGACGGAAAAGTCAGCTGGTTCAGGTATGAAGAACTCGTGGATAACTGGGTGACCATCACAACGGTGGAAGCACCAAAGAGAGGACCCCTCCTGAAGAGTAGACTTACAGGAGATGCATATATGTACAAGGCAGTCCTCCAAAATGACCTTTTGCAAGATCCTGATGAAGGAGTCAACTATTTCAAGAACACGCTGAAGAAGTACTTTTTGAAGGGTGCGACCAACGTGTGTCTGTACAGACTCCTCAGTTTCTTCAATCATCGAAGGCAGAACCAAGAGTTCCTCATTTTTACCTCAAAATTCGAAATCCTTCTGATGAGATTGAAGGCAGCATGGATGGACTTGATGCCCGTTTTCACGGCACAGTCCCCATCATTTCGACAGTCCGTTCAGGACGCAAATGCAAGAACAATTGCTCGACATCAGCAAGCAGCCGGTGCTCAAGCACCGCCTCCAGCCCTGCTGAATGAGGACGATCCTACAGTCCTCAGACAGTATATCCAAGGAATGCAGGACAGACAGCGGGACGCATTTCCCTTTGGGGATAATCTCATTGCACAGTTTTTCATCATTCAAAGTGAGTTGTCAGATCAACAAAGAGAACGACTCACAAGTGCAATGTCATTGAGAAACATCTCACTCGAGAATTATTCCTATGAGATGCTGAAGACGCACTACCATGAACTCTTCATCACAACGAGGACATCGATCCAAGATCCATCCATCCGACCTCAAGGAGGCAACCGAAGCAACACATTCTTCATCATCGAACAAGGTGAATATGAAGGAGAAGAAGGCTTCTGGGTTGAGGATGAAGAAGGACTTGAAGGATTCATGTCAAACAACGATGAAGAGACGTTCTGGGTCCTCGAGGAGAACGATGCGTTCATAGCAAGAAAAGTGTCGGGGCGGAACTTCAAGTTCAAGAAGAGAAAAGGAAAAGGAAAATCAGGAAACAAGAAGGGCAGTCCCCAACGAGGTGGCTTCAAACCCTTCAGAAAAAGCGGTTCTGGCGGAAAGGCCAATATGGCCAACGAAAACTATGATCCCTACGACCAGGCATATTGGGGAAAAGGCAAAGGAAAGAAGGGAAAGAAAGGAAAATCAAAATTCCAATATCCCTATGATGGAAACAAAGGTTATCCATCCTATGAGAGTGGCAAAGGAAAGAGCGGACAGGAAAAAGGAAAATCCAAGACGTTCGCAGCCACCGCAGAGAAGACGGAGGAGCAGCCCGCCATCCAGCAGACTGCACCATCCATAGAGCCTACCTATGCCGGTTGGACAGACCAAGATTGGGATCAATCATGGACATGGAATGAACATGGCTGGTACTCATCCCATGAGACATCCAGCACAGGACAAGCGTTAATGGCATTCCATGATGCATATGAGTATCCTGGGAAAAAGGCCATCCACGAGAAGCTGACCCAATCAGATACACAATCTGTCCGTCACAACAAATCACAGCCTTTTGGCAACAAAGCTGATGGCGCCTGTCATCAACCCTCAGCACAACCCGACCTATGCGATTCTGGACAATGGATGTGCCAGATCTATGGGCAGCTGGCGTGCAATCCAGCGTTTTACTCAGGCAATCGAACCAATGAAGGACATCATCTCCTATGAGTACATCCCGGCCGAGACCAAGTTCACTTTTGCAAACGGAGAGACCGCCAGGGTAAATTGGACCCTGCATCTTCGATATCACACAACTCCTCCGTGCAGTACAAACATCGACGTCCTTGAACAAGGAACAGTACCGATCCTTCTCAGCATCAGCCAGATGCGGAACCTCTACATGACAATCGAGCACACACCTCAATGTGATAAGATCACACGCAAGGCCTTTGGCATGAACCGTCAAGCAGTTCCAGTATCCGGTACAGGACATGCACTCGTCGATCTCGCTGGAGTTGCAAGAGTGAAGGCGCATGGAGAAATTGCTCACAAGGCCTCATCAACTATGTCTATGACGATGATAACAGCATCAAGCTTCCCTCCGGGGATTTCACCAGGAGCGAAACTGTTTGTGCAGCAAAATCATCCGAGACAAAGGAGGACCTAGCAACTCCACATCACGCCCCGGAAGGCGCTGTTCACACCAAATGGAGCCAAGGAATGTCCAATCAATCCTGATCACATCAGCCGAGAACGTACCACGGAAATCATTGATGCATCCGCAAGACAATTGGAGACTTACATCCCTGGCAAATAAACCGATGATTAACCTGTGGATAGGTAAGACCATTTTCACCTTCTCGGACAATTCGCTGAAGGACGTAGAAGCAGGTTCAGGATCGGCAGCAGACAGGATCATCGACAAGAGGGGCCAGTCGACTATTGAGCCAGATCCTTTCGCACCATCCTCAGAAGCACCAACATCGCTTCCGCTTGCCTTAGGCAGAATCCGCAAGCGATTGTCAAATCCCGAAGCGTTGAAGAAACTCCACCTGCAGCATCATCACATGACAACAGATCAATTTCGATTTAGAACCCGAGCACTTCATTTGCCGAAATCAACATTCGATCTATTTGATAAGACCCGAAGTGAGTGTGAAGTTTGCCAAGTGGCGAAACATGCACCATCACGAAGCAAGACAAGCGGACTTCGAGCGGACACCGTTGGTGACATGATTCATTGATCACTGTCAAGTTCCTCTTGGAACCGGAGAACACATCATTGTTTTTGTCATCCTGGATGGAGCAACAACATTGCTCACTGCAGAGGCAGTGACAACTACGCAAGAAGTCGAGAACATCACTGTCCTCAGGAACTATTTTGACCAGTACCACTTGCAGCCCAAATCAGTTGTCGCAGATCAAGCCTTCATGACAGATACATGGGAACATTTCTACCAGTCCCTTGACATCACTCCGATATCTTTGGGACCGACTACACCATGGCCAAATCGAGCTGAAGCAGCAGTTCGACTCCTGAAGGCACAACTCAAGATCATGTTCAGTTCCATCAAAGCAGGCACTGAATTGGAACACTGAAGAAAGTGACCTACAGGCAGCTAGTGAAGGCCGCTGCAACTGTCAGGAATCAGACCGTCACCTACGGGGGAGTAACACCATTGGAGCTCGCATTCGGAAGACGACCAGCAGATCTCATCCGGAAGGATGAGACCATCCCTCCGGGGAAACCCGGAATTGACCTTCTGTTACCTGAAGAGCGAGAATCCTTGCAGAAGGAGCAACCAGGCTCCTCTGTAGATACCAAGAAAAAGGAATCATCCGCACCAGCTCCTAAGCCAAGATCCTCAGTGCCATTACGTATCGCGGGAAAAACAACTCCAAAACCTGCAGTACCTCATCCAGCAGAGAACATGTTCGTCGAGGACCTCACATCCATTCCTGAACAAGCACATTGGAATTGTGTACGTAAGGGAAAGATCCACGTTCTCGAGATCTTTGCAGGAAGTGCCAGATTCAGTCAATGCTGTGCACTATCAGGTCTTAAGGTTGGGACTCCCGTGGACATCCGCACAGGATTCGATGTAATGACATCCAAGATGGTCATGGAGATCATCAGGGAACAAGCGCCTGATGTCATCCTTATGGCACCGGTCTGTGGACCATGGTCAAATATGCAGAACATCCAGCAAGACCAGCAAAAGGTGGGGGAAAAGCGGAGACGCTACCTTCCCATGGTTGAATTTGTGGCATCCATTGCGCGTTATCAGTTGAAGCACAGAAGATACTTCATTCTCAGACATCCAGGATATGGTATCTGAAATGCATGCAGCAATTGTTTTCAGACCCATCCGTGACCTGGGGAGATTTCCATTTCTGTGCATACGGACTAAAAGATCCTGAATCCGGGCTCAGAAGTCTCAAGCACACGAGCTTGATGCACTGTTTACCTTCCGAGGTTATGAGACCGATCTTCAGAAGGTGTAAAAATTTTTCCAGCTCAGTCAAGCATGAACACCAACCCCTAGAGGGAAACGCTGGTACCTTCGGAAGCAGAACCAAACTGGCACAGGTGTATCCTTACCAGTTCTGTCAGGATCTTGCGCACATCATCTTACGACACTTGCAGGTGAAACCGCTTGACAATGAGGTCCTCTTGGAAGGCCTTTTTGAACCATTCACCATCAAGCAGGTTGATATCCTGAGAAAGGAGATGGAAGCCATTGACAAGGAGTTCAACATGACCAGCAGCAGTCTTGCAGTCAGAATCCAAGACCTGCCGTTCAAC